AACTGAGCTTGCATGTGTGGCTCAGAGGGACCTGCACAGAAACAAATTCTCAAACACAATACAACCGATTACAGTGTGTAAACAGCTTCCTCTGGAAACTAAAATGTCAGATTAACCACCTGGTTGTAATGCCAGGGATCAGTTTCTCAGAATGAGCCTCATGCAGTGGCCTCTTAAACAGACAAGTGCAGGACAACAGATAATACATACTGATCATGGGATTGGTGGCATGCTTTTGACACAGCTAATAAGTCCATTACTCATCGGACAAGTTCCGATTCTCAGGCCTCTTAGCAGCTCCATTATGAGCAGAATGACAGACGTCGGCCTACAATCGGAAGAGGGTGTGCCCAGAGACAAGGACTGGAAGAGGAACAGGCTTCAGAGAGTAAACGAGGGTGCTTAGCACTCAGAGCCTCAGGCACGTAGCTCAGATTTACGAATGAGTTAGCGTGTCAAGATAGCGTGTCTCGCAGCAGACCACGCCTGCACCTGTCAGGTGTTCTGTGGCATGTCTGCGTTTTTCGTGCGGGAGATCGGGTGTGCGTGTGTGGCTGCATGTTAGATGGTAAGACATATCCACATGTGTGTGCTCCCTCTTCTCCATGCACGCAGCTGCATACCCCGGCGATGATGGACACCTGCGCTCCACCTAACCCCTGCAAAGGCTGCGGATCCCTGGAAACATCTAAATATTGATTAGGGATTTCAGCTGCTGGGCCAGGCAACCTCATCACCCATTTGTTGACTGACACGTTCAATCTGGTTATATAAACTCTACAATTTCTGTGTCACCTCCGACTCTCCAAATTACCTGTGCCTGTGGGTTTCATTCACAGACTCCGACTTAAGCCGTTCCAAACCCGTGTTGCGATTGAAAGATGTTGCGTTTTTGTCCGTCTCAATTTTCACACTACATAACCCACGTGTAAAGCACAAAAAAAGAGCAATCCTGTTGTAGGTGATAACTGACATGCAGGTAATGAGTTCTCTTCAATTCCTGCCAAGCTAAAACTCAAACAACAGTTGTAAGAGTAATATCTAAAGTGCAGGAATAAGGCAGTATAAACTTATAAAGTTGTGATAGTTAACATGTTAGCATGCAAACAATTGCTTATTTACACATCCTGCAGACTTGTAGCAGAATTAGCCTTCGTTTGGAGGAGAGTTTCATTCAACTTTAGCTGCTAGAAATGCCCCACTGTGCTCACCAGTAGCTAGTTAGTAGCTGGTTGATAGCGTGATGCTAGCAAGGTAGCGTACAGTACAGTGGGTTTATCAGAGCTTTTTGCTGGATCAAGCGCTTGAAACGAGGTTGATGGAAGTGAATCAAAGGTTTTTATCAAAGTTGTGGGCAAATCAAAACAACGAGACGTTAGAAAGCTCTGTAGAATTGAGCGGATGGTGATGCTGGTGATAATTCTCTGTGGGCCATTTTGCATCACACACAGTCATTTTATCCTTTGTCAGTATAATTACCATCTCACAGTTGTATGCCTCCGCCAACCACCACAAGTTGCAGTTTGAATCCACGCCTGTCCAAAATGTTATCACTTTATCGTTTTATCCAAGTCCAAGTTCATCCTTGTGTCCAAGTGAACCTTTGTGCAAAGTATGATTAAATTCCCGGCAAGCCTTCTTAAGATATCGCATGACGGGAATTGACTGGACGGACAGACTCTGTCACCGACACGGAGGCAAAAAATACCGATGCAGCTTTGAAGTTTGCATCCCTTGCTTATTACATCAAAGGGATCTAAAGGAATAATAGAGGTGGAAGATGTTACACAGGTGAGTCCAGCTCTCTCTGGATGGAGCACTCACCTGCTGCTGTTTGTTTTTCATCACTCGGATTTTGTGTCGCCCATGTGTAGTATTTTCTCCCTGCCACTGAGTTTTTATCTCAGACATTCGTACGTGCCATCAAAGAAAGAGATGAATGATAAACTTGTAACTATGTTGACCTGCCACTGAGGCATGCATTCGTTGTGAAAACTATTCATTCTTTCGAGATTGGAGGCTTACTTATGCTGCTTCCGGGGTGAATTTTTTTCTTACCAACACAAATCTGTTCCGTCTCATGGGATGGCTGCAGTTTCGACATGATTTCATGGCAAAAATGAAAGAAGAAATGCGGAGGGGTTTCATGAAGCCCACTGGGAAATTATACCTTGAACGTCTCTCTGATGTCATTGTGAGAGTTTAGCTTCATTGGCCATCACCTTCATCGTCAGTGTGATTATCTTTTCACACATTTTATATAGTTTAGAGACAGCGTATGCTACGATGGCCCTGAAAGCTCAACGTATACTGTAAATCAAGAAAACACAACAGAAGAAAATAAAGAAACATCTTCCTCAATTTCACAACACACAAAAACTTTTAGTCTAGCACCTAACATTTTTTGATACCACTAGTGAGTTGGAGACAACCATCCTTGAGTAAAAACACTGAATAATGAACCACCTTTGAGTCTGACCCCTGACCCTCCCCTGAAGGCAGCCTATAAAGAGACGTAGATCAGAAGAAGAAAAGACAATAATTGCAATAATTCACCTGAACCGACTAACGAATACTTACATTTGCATTTCCAAAAAAACACCCACAGCATGAGTGTGCTTCCCTTACCCACAACCGGACCCCCTCACGCACGGAACACACACACACACACACACACACCCCCACACACACACACACGCACACACACACGCACACACACGCACACACACACACACACACACACACACACACACACACACACACACACACAGAGGCGCAGACTCTTAAACATGACAGCCCCGTCGTGCATGACTTGTATTTATGAATGGCCATAGTGTGCCAGTGAGGAAATTCCTCTCATACTAGGAAACATCTGGCCAAATGTTATCTGTTGTATCTTTATCATCAATGCCACATCAATGCTTGAGTTTGGCATCCCTGACAGCCTGGATGAAAAACACTTTTCGCAAATTTGTTATGTCCCAGATATGATAAAATAAAGTATATTTTAAAAACAAAAGCAGTGATAAAAATGACTCAATTTAATAAGCTGAAGCCTATGAGTTATGATACAAGTTGTAAAATAATTACATGTTCGCCTCAATTTTTCTTTCTCCTCCTATTGCTGATCTAATTAAGGTGGATGGTGACGGATCTATTCTCGCAGGTGGTACAGTATGTGGACTTTTTTGCTTCGACCGTGCACTCCGTTGACCTCGCCTCTGCTGCCCCCACCAGGCCGAGAGGAGAGCCTCCCGTTGCATGACAAGCGGTGAAGGAAATGAGATCATCTCTTTCACCTTTCTCTAGCTGACACGGTTCTTAAATAGTTTCATGTTGTTTTTCCTGATCCCGGTTGCCCCGGCGACGACACCGCTTGTGAGCGGTGACCGCACGGCAGGGGGCGGGGCTGATGGGTGAGAGGCCTGTCGAGTAACACGCACACACACATTGATATAGGTATAAGAACACACATTAAAACACACATACAGTGGATATCTATCTATGCATGAATCTATTAGGGCAAAGACACACACAGCCGGGATATACACATATACACACACACACACACACACACACACACACACACACACACACACACACACACACAGGAGCACAGCAGAATTCACGGGGATCTGGTCCTCAGGATCAAAGCATCAAACACTGCAAAAAAAAAAAAAAAAAGGCCATACAGGCTGAACTCTAGCAGAGCAGATTAATCACTCAGCGTGTTATTTTTCAGCCCTCTCGCTGGTAGTGGGTACGAGCCCAGACAGGCCTCCTCTCTAACAGCCTGTGGTCTATAATTATCCCTCCAGCTGTTTATACCCAGGCATCTGACCTCTAACCTCTGATACTTACACCTTTTCATAATGACACTCAGCACGCTACAGTTCAACAGTGCTGAGGATAATGAGCGGATGGGTTCATGTTCTTCGTATAAACTTGAGGATGATTTACGTATTTACAAAAACTTGCGTGTTTGGGAAACTATGACTATTTTTGGATGGTTATCTGTGTATGTGATGTAGCTTAATGCTTTGGTTGCCTCACCTGGTCTGTATTCAGAGTGGTGCAGTGGTGAGGCCCAACTTCCAGGGGGTGGATCGCCTCTGACTTAGCACCCTCTGCTGGTCGACAGGCTTCACTTCAATTAGCAGGAGAGCAGACTGAAGGTTTCAGAAACAATACATGCGTGCAGCTCTTTAAACCATGTTAATCACTGTTATAGAGTAATGAACGGCACTGCATTTCCAACAGATCATCCGGGGCTGACGCAGCATTCACATCACATTGTAAAATCTATAAATATGTGCAGCCAAATGAAAAAAAAATTAAAAATCAAGCCGATGCCGAAATAACTCCAAAACCACTTTAGTGATAGTAAAAGGTGTTTTGTGACATTTTGCAGGGAGGTAGATTGACAGCACTCTCCAAAGTATATCTGTTGAATGAGCTGGATCTAAAGCTCCTCTGAAAGTTTTTTTGTAACGAAAAACAAACAAGATTCAATATGTTAATTAGTAGCCTAAGCGTTTGCTCTCCAGCCCATCGACTGTATAAAAGAATGAACGAAGTTACCATGACATTACCAATTGACATGTGGAGTGCCGTTTTGAAACCTACAGTTTGGCATTTTGGCCGTCGCCATCTTGTTTTTTTGCAACCAGAAGTGACACGAGAGGGTGGAGCTGGGTACATTTAACGTCACTTTGAGGCAACCTAAATGTTAAAAACAACTTTCATGAAGTGAAAACACACTGTGAAAGGGTTAGGGTTGTAAGACGAAAACACGGACAACTCCCAGACCGGACAACGCAGTGGTAGCAACCTGTCAATCATAAGTAGCCACACCCTAAAGCATACCCTGTTTTTCTCTAAATGGGACCATAATTTGCTAATTTGACATTTTGCTGTATTGAAAAAGACTTGAAACTATAGTGACTGAGACCATAAACTCATGTTTACATTGTTAACTGAGGTAATAAATCAAGTGAGAATTTATTTTCTTTGTTGAGCAGCTCGTTAGCCCTTGTTGGCAAAAAAAAAACAGAAAAAAACTTCCTTCTTCATTCTCTTGTTTCTGGTATGAGAATATACCCTCGTCCCACTGAAACTGTTCCCTTCAGGCCATTTTCTCTGATTAGGAATATGTTCACACAGTCAACTCGCCTGATAATTTATGGGTTGAAGGACAATTTAAAAAGGCATTCCCTGTCTCCCTGGACCTTTCCCAATGCATTAATCCATTTTATCCTTTCAATTTCAACCTTTTAGTGTAAGATTTAATACTGCACGTTATTTCTCAGCCACAGATACCAGCACATTATTTAAAATGCACTGTCAAAGGATTGGATGTCTCACACTTTTAACATCTCTCTCAGATTATACCCAGATGAACATTTGCATTTTTTGTTTACCATACTTAAGCTTGAGTCGTTTAATTGTACAATTTAGGAAAATACATCAGACATCACACATTTTTGTCCAACAGTGCAGGATTGGTATTGTAATACTCTCATGAATCTCATGAGTTAGCGTCTGAAGATGCCTCAGAGTACAGAGGAGCTGCAGAGCTCAGAACCGAGGGTGCAGGGGGAGGCTCGCAGCGCTGGTCCTCTGGTCCTCTGTCTTTGTACCAACGCCCTGCGGGCCAACCCTCGGAGGCAGCAGAGCTTCCAACGAGGCAGACTCAGAAACAGGAAGAGATGCAGACGATAAAGTTCATCGTTTGAAGTGGTTCGAGCTAAGAGACTCAGATGTGAAGGCAGATGCTGCATCTTTCTCACTCTACATGTCCTGCACACACATCGCTCACACTCACACTGCAGCACGTGAAAGGCCGCCAGCCGGCGCTGGCAGTGGCTAAGAGCGTCCGATTTCCATTTTTTAATAATCCATGCATCTCTCTGTTTCACTGTCCGTGGCAGTGTCGAGAATGCAATCGAGGCTCCTCGCCCAGTTCATCCCGGCTGTGTGGTTGATTTTGGTCTATTTACATGTCGGCTCCTTGAACACCAGCATCCTTTATCAACGAGGAAACAAAAGAGTCAAGAGTGTGGAGTTTGTTTTGCAGGGTTTGCCAAGTGGCTGTTGCTGTGGGGTGGGGAGAGGGGGGCGGCAAAAAGTGGGTCAGGTGCTCAGTAGGAGATCTCCTTGTCCAGAGCCCCATTCCACAAAATCCATTTCCCCGCTGGAATGAGGAGGGCTGTCCAGGGAGATGCCCCGGCGCTCCCCGAACACCTTCTCCTGCAGTTCAATGATGTCATTGCGGATGTCAGCCATCATCAGCAGGAGGAAGTCGAAGGAGCCGGGCGGTCCCTGGTTGACCAAGTGAGGAAATTATTAAGATGCCCTGCATGTCACCTTTTCACTGGGTTTGACAACCAGAAAACTTTGAGGTATGAGGCCCAATAGCATGGCAGACTTATTGGCATGTCATAGCAGGGACACCGACAACTCTGTTCCACTTACGTGCTGGGACATTTGAAATTAGTTTCAGCTGCGCTATCCCTGCTATGACAAGTCAAAAGCAACAGCCCCCTCACTGATTACACTGATTACTGCATCCACTTCAAACAGGACTATGAAATGAGACGTAAGCTGTCGATCCAGAAAAAAGAAAACCTGGCTATGGCAGCAAATAATTAAAAGTTTCATTAAAAGCAACAATCAAAACATTGTTAAATTACAGATTTACCGTGCACATGCAGAGCTTTGTTTTCAACAAATTACGGCAACTATTCGTAGGTTCACAAACGCAATTTGGAGATTAAAGAATTCACAGTTCAAGTTTTAATGTACACATACAATCAACCTCTCAGAAAAAAGCATGCAGGTGTACGTTCCTCATTTACATGTGTTTGTCATTTACGTTATAGAATGAGGGGGCAACATGTAGATGAAGGTGGCAGGTTTAAGACAAGCTAGAGCATGTTAATGAGTAGATTTATACAGTAGCTTTAATAAAATGTGAATTTATTAGCAGGTATCAGTCTAAATTGACTTACAGGTGGACCTATGGGACCAGGAGCTCCTCTGTCACCCTGCAGATGAGAAAGAACACAAATTAACCCAGATAACTCTAAACACTTAAGTGTCCTGAAAACCATTCAGTAGAATGTCAAGCAGGTTAAAAATGTATGAAATGTAATCATTGTCAATGTATATCTATAAGGAAGAACTAAAGAAACCAGAAGCACGACAGAACTAGCTGTCCAGAAATGCATTTTATAACTTGATTATATTTAGCTTTACACATGCAAACACAGACACTCGTAAAGACAAGGCGCTCCTCTCATTTCTCTATTTTGTGCCTCCTCGTCTACCTCTCTCATCCGTCCTCCTGCCTTTGACCCGGAAATCTATCTCAGTGCGCCATCCTGAAGGATGTCTCAATTCCTAAAAAATGCACCTCGAGGTGAGAGGAGCGACGAGGCTTGCTGGAGGAGCTGTGAGCGAGGATGCACGGATGTGTATCCTTTTGCGGGAGTGTTTTCGGCATCCATAAAAGAGGCGCGACAATGGACAGTTGATGCAGCGTGCCACACGTCGTATTTCATTTTGTTTGTTTTCCACTCGCATCTCAGGTGGGAGGGACAAATAAGCAAGGAGAGGAGGCGAGGAAAGGAATCAAAGATGTACAAACATGAGAGGAATAATTCAAAGCACAAATGAGGAAAATAAAGATGTGTAATAATGACCTTCAGTCCATCTCTTCCTGCTGCCCCGGGGGGTCCCTGTATGAATGACAAGACACATGTATGGGACGGTTTGTCAACGTTAGTCTGTTTGAAACCAGAGATGACAAGAAGTTGTAGCAGCTCGAAAGATACATCTTGAACAACACGTCACGAGGTTTTGCACTTTTCCTTCAGAGATTAGAAAAACACATTTCCACCACAAAAAAATCCACCACACGGTTTTAAATGAATAGACTGCCTCCCTTCATCACGGGAACTGAAAGGTGATGGACAACAGCCGACTGTGCCGTCTCACGTGCGCTGTGCTCACGCAACAGCAGTGGCACCAAACCCGTATTGGTATGACTTGCTGACACACGGAGGACGTGACCTCCAGGTTTTAAGATGCTACTTTGATGTCCTGAAGTAGAAGCTCCAGTGGGAAATTAGCTGAAAAACAGATGTGATAACCCCTTCATTATGGGATAGATGGATTTTTTTTCTTACCACTGCGCCCCTGCGGCCTCTTTTTACATGCTTCAGGTCAGGCTCTGGACCCATGGGTCCCATGTCTCCCCGTGGACCAGGCGGGCCCCTGTCCCCTGGGTCCCCTCTCTTTCCCGGTTCTCCTGGGTGTCCTGGTGAGGACAGATGGATACAGCGACAAAGAGAGTTATATAAAACCGGATAGTTATTGGCTTCATACTACGAAGCTATGCTCCTCAGGCAGCTCATTTTAAAAACCTGGACTTGCTTTTCATTCACTTTCATTTTTGCTGCTTTAATCTTTTGTATAGGTTTTCTTTCTTCATGTTTTTATTAACATGTGTAGATCATTTCCTTTTTCTTTGATTGTCTTTTTCTCCCTCTTCACACTCTTCCATTTTGGTACTCTAACAACATCCACATTACCTGGGACCCCAGGAGCTCCCGGAGGACCGGGTAGACCAGGAAGACAAGGGCTATCAGGACTTTTTCCCGCCCTCCCCAGAGAAGGCTTGTCACTGCTGTTGGCCAGGTCAGGTACCTAAAAACACAAAGAGGGAAGACTATGTAAGCCAGACTAGCAAGCAAGGGAACGTGTGAAGTCCCCCGCTTTGGGACTTAAGTCACCCTTAAACCAAATCTAAACTTCTATTTTACAGTCTCATATATAGTAAACATGTTGGCACATCGGCTGTAGTAAGTTTAATGAATGTTATCAATCATATAAAATATGAATATATAAAACAAATCTAAATGCATTTTGTATAAAGTACACGTGCTACCTGGTTGGGTGACTGTGTGTTGCCCAGCCTTAGCTTTAGCTGCAGCAGACTGTTTTTCATGTTCATAAAATCCTCACAGGTGAAGGAGCAGGTACCAGCACTCATCAGGGTGTCTGACTTCCCCGATGAACTCACTGCAACACAAAACATACATTTAAAATGCGGCCACACTGGGAAACCAAACCTCTGACATTCCATATATGTGATATTTGAACAACAGGGTCAAATCACACTGAATCACAATCAGAAATCCCTTCATTTCCAGAGTGTCAAACAATTACTGTACAACCATTAAAAACAACCACCGTCCATATCAGAATCATCTGCATCATTAACTATATTGTTGAAATAGATAGTTAGCTACTGAATGTTCATCCAAATGCTGTAAAGCTCAATTGAAACACATGAACTCACAGTTGTGTACAGGGATGCAGGAGCGTTGGTCCGGTGCGAGTATGTAGCCACTGTGACAGTGACACAGGAAGCTGCCCACTGTGTTCACACACTCGTGGTCACACAAGCTGCCGCCTGGGTGCTCACACTCATCAATGTCTGCGTGTGTGTGTGTGTGTGTGTGTGAAGGGGGACAAAGAGAGAATGAAATGTACATTAAACAAACAAATCTCACAGCAACAGGAGGATGGCGCTGTTTTCCAGTTAGAGTTAGTTAGAGAGAGAAAGAGAGAGAGAGAAAAAACAGTAATAGACATGATAGTCAAAAGTATTCAAGTGGGAGATATAAGAAGGGAGCATGCTGACCCAGACAGTAAGGAGACTTGTGGTTGCGGTGCCTCTCTCGGTCGAAGCGATAGCCGGCGTAACACGTGCAGACAACTCGCCCAAAGTTATCAGTGCACTGTTGCTCGCAGGGCGACGCTGCACACACATCCACACCTAGAAAGAGAGAGAGAGAGAGAGAGAGAGAGAGAGAGAGAGAGAGAGAGAGA